ATAACCAAGCAGTGGTCGGTGGTGAAGCGTACATATTCTTGATTGCCTTGAGGGTAGACACGAGTGAGAGGAAGACATCCAGGCGGCGCTGGAAGAGGTTGGAGCTCAGGTCGCTGCACACATGCATGCATACACATGCATGCACATGAGGGATCAGAGGAGAGGCACACTCACTTGTCACCAAATCCATAGGAATAGCCTCGCAGAAGAGAGGGAGACCGGCAGAAAGCGCAGTGGGGGGGGGACGTCACCCCAGCCCCAGCAGCAGCAACCCGGCAGCTGGTGGCAGCAGCACACAGAACGCCCTGGCCGTTGGTGGAGCCACAGACGGCACATTCAGCGGCGCTGCGCTGTGCCAGTCCCAGTGATGCACACTTGGACGCGTCCACCAGGCAGTTGCCCGTGCTGGCGCAGTAGCTCATGCTATTGGCCGCCACAGAACCCGCCAGGAAGTTGCTTTGCACGTCCAGAGAGGCGAGCGTGGTGGGGAGTGCGGCGGGGAGTGAGCCGGTGAGGTAGTTGAAGGCCACAGAGCTGATGTGGTGGTGGAGTAGGGTGGGAGAAGATAAGAGAGGAGAATAGAAGGGTGTGAATGCAGGTAGTCAGGTCAGGAAGTTGATGTGGTGGAGAGGAATTTATAAGACAGAGTAGCAGAGTGAGAAGTGAGTGGCTACAAATTTCACTCTACGAAAAGTGAGTGAAATGTGTGAGAGTGAGTGGCAGGTGGCGATGCGATGCACGTAGAGCTATGCAGGTGCAGCTGCAGCAGAAAAAGTATATGCTGGCACGTTGAGAGCCAGAGTGCAGGTTGGGCTGGTTCAAGGAGTGTGACAGCTTTTTGAACTCTGGGCTGTAACCTGCATGTCCTCCTGCTGACTGTGCGAGGCAGCTAGCACATGAAACAAGGGGATGTCCAAGCAGCATTAAGCCCTCTATTTGAAATAGATCTTAGGCTGCTAGAGTGCACATAATCCCCGCTTTCTCAATCTGTCTACTTGTTTCCATGACACTAGTTGTGAGTCAGATGGCCTTCAGGATATGAGCATCATCACGTGGTGATCATGCTATGGTCACTCACAGTGTTGAGAGGGTCTTGAGGGCGAGGAGGGCCGAGGGGAAGGCGCCATAGAGGTAGTTGTACTGCAGGTAGCTGCATGGTTGCATGGTATATGGGGGCAATGGAAAGGGGAAGGTGAGGGACAGAGGGGGAAAGCCTCCTGGCTAGTAATGCCTAGGTGAGGGTTTTGTTCTATTTGCTTGATTTTGCTGTTAAATGTGTGGGGTTTGATGCCGAATGGTGGGCGAGGCAAGGGAGGCAGCAGTGTGAAGGTGGTCCTGGACTAGGGTGTGCTAATGAAGCACCCTGGCCTTGGATATCCATCCTTGAACATAATACCAGTCTTTTGCCTCGACAGGCTAAACGGCCAGGCGGGCTGATGGGTGGATGAGATGGGATGATGGGTGGATGGGGGCAGGCAGGGGCTCACAGCTCCTTGAGCACGAGAGGTGCCTTGATGTTGGCAGTGAAGGAGTCAATCTTGCCTTCCAGCCGGTTGGACTGCAGGTCACTGTGGTGCCAGCAGGAGGGAGAGCAGTGGTGCAGGGAGAGGTGCAGGGGGGGAATGGTGGAGGAACGAGTGAGAAACTGACATGGGGAAAATTAATGAACTTGGCTTGGCAAACGGCTTGATGAATGAATGAACTGTGTGAGTCCTGGAGCACAGGCAGCATGGTGAGGGTGGTGAGCATGTGTACTCACAGCACGGTGAGGGTGGTGAGCATGTGTACTCACAGCACGGTGAGGGTGGTGAGCATGTGTACTCACAGCATCGTGAGGGTCGTGAGCATGTGTACTCACAGCATCGTGAAGGTCGTGAGCATGTGTACTCACAGCATTGTGAGGGTCGTGAGCATGTGTACTCACAGCATCGTGAGGGTCGTGAGCATGTGTACTCACAGCATCGTGAGGGTGGTGAGCTTGGAGATCTCTGAGTGGATGCTCCCTGTGAGTCCCAGCCCCTTGAGCGACCTGCATGTGGTGATTGATTGCAGTGCACACGGTGTGGGGGAGGGCAGCAAAAATATTGGAAGGTACACATAAAGGGAGGGTAACACACACGGGGAATGGATCACTCATGGAGAAAGCAGCAGAACTGGGAGGGGCAGCAGATGTCTGGATGGCAGCATGTGATAACAACAAGCAGTAACAGTGGGTAGCAACATACTGAATGCAGAAATTTCAAGGTAACCAACGGCGTAATGGTTGGCACTCGGAAAGGTGCTGGAAGGATATGTGGCAGGACACTGCTTGGTTCTTAGCATTCCAACACCTTCTTGCCACTCTCAGTAGTACGAACACACCACAGCTAGCACGCAGGCAGAACACTCACACTCGGAGAACTTTCCCGGAATCATCACATGCGACTCCATTCCATGAATTGGAAGCCACAATTGGTGATCCCACGAGGGTGCAGAGGGCATCCACCCGCCAGTCTAGAAACGACACTCCCAGTGCCACCTTCACATTTATCAGTGCAACGGCTTGAGCCGCATCCATGGGCACACTTGTAGAAGCAGTGCAGACCAGAGGGAGCACGGGCGATGAGGCACTGTTGGGTGTGGCTGGTGGGAGCAGGAGCGAGGGAGGAGGAGAGACACTGCAGATCCCACCACCGATAATGCTGCTGCACAGCTTGCCCTGAGCATTTGTGGTGTTGCAGATGATGCAAGCCGTTGCTGACCGCAGGATCTCAGTGGGCCTTGTGGGGTGCTTGCAGTTGGCAGTGGAAGCAAAGCAGTTGATGCGGGCGGAGCAGAAGGCGAGGCCGAGGGCGTATCTGCGATGGGGTAGGGAGAAAGGCAAGCAGGTCAAGAGGAACGAGGGCCGCTAAAGATGAGGGTAGAAATGGACGGATGGATCTGTGAAGTAGCCCGATGGATAGAGAGATGACAGTGATTGCCCGACATACCAGATTTAGTGATGCGCATACCGCCACATCACATCATGACATGATGAAGAATGCTCACCACGACGTGACACGACTGACCGCCACCACGTGCCATGACTCACCAACGCAGTACATGTCAGGAGCGCCCATGTTGTCAGCATGCACCGTGCTGCCATCCACATCTGGCAAGCAAAATCCTCCGAAGCACAGCAAGCCCTGCCCGTCCTCCGAATCGCAGATGGCACACGCCTCGGCTTCCCTCTGAGCCGCAGCGCTCTCCTCGCTGCACTCGCTCGCATCCGCCAGGCAGTTGCTGCTCGCGTCACAGCTCGTCAGCGAAGCTTCAGGGAAGATTCCCGCGAGGAAGTTGTCTTGGAGGGCGAGGGAGAGGAGAGACGTGGGCAGGGCTGGCACTGTCCCGGTCAGAGCATTTGTGTGCAGGTCCCTGGATGTAGGCAGTTTAGGCTCAGGTGGATCGAGTAAGTTTTTCTATTCACTGGGATGGACGGCTCACAAAGATGGAGAAGATTACAGATTCATAGGTCAGTGTTGTAGTGCGGTGTTGCACTATGTGGACAGGCTCGGGACCCAGAAAATGGTGGCATTATGGCATATCAGATGAGCCAGGTCCATGCAGGTTAGTTCCAAAACAACGGCACATCGTTCATTAATTGTCGCACTTCGAGCGCTGAATGCTTTGTTTGGGTGGGTGGCAAGGGTGGAGTCACTTACAGGTAGGCGAGGGTGGATAGGGATACGAGGGCAGATGGAATAGAGTCCGCAAACCAGTTGTTGTTGAGATGGCTGAAAGGAGGGAAAGAGGAGTGAGAAAAGGGAGGGGAATGAGGCAAGAGAGAGGAAAGCGGCAAGGAAAATGAAGGGGGAAGCGAGAAAAATGGAGAGGGAGAAAAAGAAGCGAAATAAGGCAAGGGAGCAGAAGGAAGGTACAAGTTTCATAATAACGGTGGGGTGGGGGTGTGTCGCTCCCTTGGCACGGGCGCCACTCACAGGCGCTTGAGAGCCTGGAGATTGGAGAAGCCGGAAGTGAAGGTCGCGAGGTTCTGGCGAAAGAGGTTGCTCGACAGGTCCCTGTGCCATTGGGGGGAGGAGGCCGAGGGGGGCGGAGGGATTGCAGCAACGCGCTCAGGTTGTTGAGATGCGCATCTTAAGTGGTGGAGAATCGGATACTTGGTTTCAGCAAAAGAGCAGGATTAGACGATGTTCCACATGGACAGGATGGGATGTTACAATGCAAAGGTAAGGGAGGATTGCAGAAGCAGGAGAAGTTCTCTGGCTTAGCAAAGGGAGTCGAAGTGGGAGGGGGGAGGATGAGGGCTGGACACGGGTCAAGGGAGAGAACGAGAGTGTGAGACGGAAGAGGAGGGAGCTGAACAAGGGGAGGGAGGAGAGGGAGATTTTGGGAGAGGGGAACTGACAAGGACGTGAGGGCAGTGAGCTTGGAGATGTCGGCATGCACGCTTCCACTGAGGCCCATGAAAGTCACATTCCTGCATGCAACCAAGGGGGGTGTAACAGCACCACCAGAGAAAAGGGAGGGGTGGAGAGGGGTGGGGGACGGGGTGAGGAGTGGGGAGTGCGGATGACGGGGGCATGCTCAGGCAAAGGTAAAAGACTGTTAAGTTTATGGAATGAGCCCATGTGAAACAAGACAATTACATGACAGGCAGAGAAAGACAACATGTGGAAGACGGATATGATAGTGAAGATGAGAGATAATGCACTCTGTAACTCAACCTGCAAGGCACTAAAATGATAGAAATTGCAGTGGTTTGAGACTGGAAGCTTTTCCACAGTCTGGTCAATCCAGGAGTGGGCCAGCCATGCTGAAGCTGCAGAGAATCAGTCTCTGGCATTTATTTCACAGATTCGCAATGTCTTAAAAGGTAGTAGATTCCAATCCATCAACATCACTGTTAAAACAACACTCACACACTCGTAGTTTCTCGCACCACTCACACACTCAAGACGGCCCCAGAAACGGAGCAGCGCACGCCATTCCAGGTGTCTGTGAGACTGATTTCGGGGTTGCCCATGGTGCAGGAAGATGCGGGGACCCAGGTGGAGTCGGTGACTCCCAAAGATGACTTGACGCTCAGTAGAGCCGATGCTAGATGGTCGAGATGGGGCGAGATGGTGGTGGTGGTGGTGAGGAGGAGGAGGAGGAGGAGGAGGAGGAGGAGGAGGAGGAGGAGGAGGAGGAGGAGGGGGAGGAGGAGGAGGAGGAGGAGGAGGAGGAGGAGGAGGAGGAGGAGGAGGAGGAGGAGGAGGAGGAGGAGGAGGAGGAGGAGGAGGAGGAGGAGGAAGGAGGAGGAGGGAGGAGGAGGAGGAGGAGGAGGAGGAGGAGGAGGAGGAGGAGGAGGAGGAGGAGGAGGAGGAGGAGGAGGAGGAGGAGGAGGAGGAGGAGGAGGAGGTGGAGCGTGTAAGTTTGAAATGTGGTTTGTGATTCAACACGCTTTGTGATTCAACACGCTTCGGACATTTCAGAACGGAGAACGGGGAATATGAACATGTGCAAAAGAGGCTGAAAATTTGGCAGGTGCAAGAGAAACGAAGGGTGGGGAATGCATTTGAATACATGTGCTTCTATAAGAGAAATTTCACCTGAGGCAGAATCCATTACGACCACAGGTGGATCTGTACAGCCACACACAAGGGTACAGCCACACACAGGGGTACAGCCACACACAGGGGTACAGCCACACACAGGGGTACAGCCACACACAGGGGTATAGGTCACACACAGGGGTACAGCCACACACAGGGGTATAGGTCACACACAGGGGTACAGCCACACACAGGGGTACAGCCACACACAGGGGTATAGGTCACACACAGAGGTACAACCACACACAGGGGTATAAGTCACACACAGAGGTACAACCACACACAGGGGTATAAGTCCCACACAGAGGTACAACCACACACAGGGGTATAAGTCACACACAGAGGTAACAGTCATGCACAGGCATACAGTCACGCACATGCGTACAGTCACAAACAGGCGTACAGTCACACACAGATTTGCGGTCAGGGGCAAGCACAGGCACAGAGAAGGACAAATTCACAGAGAGGGTAGAGGATTTGAGGCAGAGCATCTCGAAAGTAGAAGTACTAGGTTAGGCAACCAGCCAACCAGCATCCTGTGTGTGTGCAACGCAGCAGCCATCCAGAAGAAGGTTCCAGACGAGAGAAGAGAAGGAATGACATTGCACTGCGTGGTCCTTGGCTCCACGCCACTCTGACATCGCGAAAACCATTTTCCTGCCTGCCAGTGCGGGCCAGAGCATGTTTGCAATAGACCGGCCGGGCCGGGGGAGAAAAACTTTCCAGCTAGAAGGTTTCCCATCAGCCATGAAGACTGGGCGAGCTCCTTTGAACGTATGAAGCCCTCCTGCAGTTATATCTTTCTTCAGCCATTTTCCCTGATACCAAAGGAGACTTTCCCTTGCTGCAAAATTCGTCCAGGAAAAGGACAAAGCTACACTCACCGAGACACTTCATGGGGACTATGGGCAGATTGGGAGAGTTTACAGTCCCCTCATTGACTGCAGCAGCACTGTCAGGGCCGCACAGCCCACCATAGCACAACTCCCCCTGGCCGTCGTCGACCCACAGATGGCACACACGGAGGTGGGGCGCTGCTGCAGGCCGGAGGAAAGGCAGTAGGAGGAGGAGAGGAAGCAGTTGTGGTCCGCCGAACAGCTCTTGAGGGAGAGCTTGGGGAAGGATCCCGAGAGGTAGTTAAAGCCCACGTCCAGAGCCGCCAGGGAGGTGGAGGGGATGGGCATGGTGCCCGTGAGGTAGTTGGAGAAGAGGCCCCTGCGGGGCGAATGAGACACAGACACGAGGAGGGAAGAAAAGGGTGAACGATCATGATATGAGTGAGAAGAGAGTGGTCAAGGAGAGAGGCGCGAGACTAAGCAAGGTGCAAGGGGTGAGACCTTGAAACCCTGAATCTGAGTGCGCAACTTACAGTGTGGTGAGATTTGGCAAAGAGGCAATGAAGGAGGGAATGGATCCCGCAAACCAGTTGTAGTGGAAAAACCTGAGGGGTGGGGCGACGAAATTAGAAGGGAAAATTCCCTTACTAGGGAAATTTTAGGCCTGCCAAGAAGTAACTAGGGAACATGAACCACAAAGCATTTCATGTTCTCATAAACAAGAGGTGGTAGTCAAGGCGCCATAAGACATGAGGTTTGGTACTCACAGCGCCTTGAGGCTGGGCACGGTCTTGAGTGGCGCAGAGAACGAGTCTAGGCGGCCTTGGAAAAGGTTGTAGCCAAAGTCACTAGGGCAGGGGGCGAGGTTAGAGTTGGGGATTTGAAGATTTATCGGTGTGCAGCGCAATATATTGAAAATCCAGAGAAATTATGACCACAGCACAACACTAGGCAATAAAACATGGCTCTTCCTTACAAGTAGTAATTCTCATTCAAGCCTTACAAGTAAGTGAGCGCGGTGAGCTTGGAGATGTCTGCATGAATAGACCCCTTCAAACCCTGACGTGCCAACGAGCTGAGGGGAGTGTTGGGAGAGGCAGAGAGAAGGGTGTGAGGAAGGTGAGAGAGGCAGGCATGGAGGCTAGCATCAGGAGTGGGGGAGACTGTAAAAAAAAAATCTAATGCGTCCTTGTAACAGCCTGCTCACATGACAGTTAGGATGGCACGAGATACTGCATCTGTAAGCATTTGAAAATTGTTGCTGTACGCCAAGCTATAGCATGCATGGCTGAATTATGGGTGCTCACATGGAGAGTACATCCCCGGCATCACCACAGAGCACGCCGGACCACGTGGGCTGTGCAGAAGCCTGCTTGCCAACCGCTTGGCATGGCACACTTGCTGCCCACGAGGTGAACGTCACACCCAGCGATGCCTTGAGCGACATCATCACTGGCGAAGGGGATGGCCGGGAGCACGGGATGGTGAGGGAGGGGTTGGGAGAATGAATAGAGTAGCAGGGGCAGAGTGGAGAGTTGGGGGGGGGGGGGGGGGGGGGGGGGGGGAGAGAGAGTACAGTATCAGGAGAGATGTGGATAGAAAGACGCTCGGAAAAATATTGAAAGGACAAACCACCAAGATAGTGCATACGACTGTTGTATGTGCATGGATGATGAGACAAGACAAGGAGCAGCCTTCACACACCTGCAACGCTGGTGGTTGGCATGGCTGTTAGAGGACCGCCTGCAGATTATGTGATAGAGAGGTTTTGGTCCGTGCAGAGGGTGGTGGGTGAGTGAATCATGATCATTATCATTGTCATCATCATAATAATCATCATCATCATCATCATCATCATCATCATCATCATCATCATCATCATCATCATCATCATCATCATCATCATCATCATCATCATCATCATCATCATCATCGGAGAAACGCGGAAGGATGAACGAGTATGGAAAAGAACTTAATAGACAAACCACTCAGAATGCACCACGCACATTCATTTATGCGAGAATCCCAGTCCCAGACACACCCAAGCCTACTGCACCAATGCGGAAGCTAGGCGGTTGAGAGTGTGGACCCACTCGGACGGTTACATCACTCTACCTGAGCAAAGCATGGATGGAGCAGGTCTTAGTGTTGGAAAATTCATTGTGCCGGCTGAAATGTAAGCAGTAGCAGCGACCACACACTCCCCACCATCGCCCCAGCAAAGGGGAGCGACGGCATTGGTAGTGCCAGCGCACTCAGAAGCAGGTCGCTGTAAAGTCCCGCCATTGGAGCACTTGGAGGGATCGGAGAGGCAGTTAGAATTGCCGTCGCAGGAGCTGAGAGAATGGGTGGCGATGCTTGAAATATAATTGTTCGTGAAGTAGAGGGACTTCAAGGCCGTACCCACGGATGGGATGCCACCAGTGAGGAAGTTGTTTTTCATCATTCTGAGGAGATGAGAGTGGGGAGGGTATGTGACGAGGGGTTCTGTGTGAGGGGAGGGGAGACAACAAACACAGTTGAGATAAGGGAAACGTTATGAAAGCCTTTCAATGAAAGGTATGGCATGGTGCTACTTACAGAGCAGTGAGTGATGGGTGATTCACGAGGAACGAAGGGACTGAGCCGTAGAGATAGTTGGTGTCTAGTGATCTGCCGAGTGACGGGCGGGGAGTTGGTGGACATTTCAATGAACTGCGGTTTGCTGCGACCAAATCTGCTCCTACTGACACTCGGATCCAACCAACACTTCTTCCTGATGTGTCATAGTTCTGAGGGAGCAGCAAAATCCCCTTCTAGTCAACTGCGTGGCCCCATTCATCCCTTCAAGAAGCAAGGGTACTGCTTGTTGAGATGTGAAATCAATATGCCACGACATGGAAATTGTATGTACGAGAAAGTTTTGTGTGCTTCCGCTGCGACAAGCAAAGTGTATGGATTATTACCCCTTCAGCGGCCATGTTGTTCATTTCAAGGTACTCAACTTAAAAGCTCGCATGCTAATGACTTCTCACGTGCACTTCACAGCTCAAATGCTTCTGACTGCTACTTAGATGCTCTTGACTTCTCACAGCATCTGTAGAGATGTACACCCGGTGAGGCTGGAGACAAAGTCTTCTAAACGGCCACTCAGAAGATTATAATCGAGCTCTCTGATTGAGGGCAGGCACATGGGAACACAGGGAGTACATGCATGACGTGGCATGGCAGAACATGGCATGACGTGGCATGAGCTAAGAACACGTGGCTTGGCAGCATAAGGCAGCAGAGGCAATGGAACAGCACGCAGAGATGCTTCCATGTTTGTGAAAGTCTGAGAGGGAGAAAGAGGGACTGACAGTTGTGCGAGGGCGGTGAGCTTGGACATCTCGGCAGGCAGGCTGGAACCTTTGAGTGCTTTTGACGATGCACCGCTGCACGCATTTGAAAGTAAAACAAGTGGGGAGCAAAGGAAGAATACTAACCATGTACAGAGGCTATGGATCCACACATAAAGTGCAAAAAGTGTGCGTCGTCCATTGGTGGTCATATGCCCCCCCAGGTCTAGTGTCAGTCTGCTTCTAGAGTGGTGCTGGTAGCACCGCTTCCTGCAATGGAGATGTAAACAGGAGCCTAGAGGGACATGCAGAGCATACTAAATCTCACGTATGTGATTGCTCCACGATTGTTTGAAAGATTTGCGAGATTATAATTGTTCACAAACTCACAAGTACTTGGGTGACCCATCCATGGAGCATTGAACACTAGTCCAGACGGGGACTCCCCCCTGGTAAAATCCATTGCCAGCAACGCAAAGAGAGGAGGAGGCCCAATTCGTGTACGTCAAACCCAGGGATGACTTCATGGATAGCATGGCGGACACTGGATGGAGAGAACGGGGAGTAAAACAGAAAGGCGGAATAGGACGGATTACACGATTGGAGAGGTGTCGAGAGAGAGAGAGAGAGAGAGAGAGAGAGAGAGAGAGAGAGAGAGAGAGAGAGAGAGAGAGAGAGAGAGAGAGAGAGAGAGAGAGAGAGAGAGAGAGAGAGAGAGAGAGAGAGAGAGAGAGAGAGAGGGAACCCTTAGCCTCTTCCCTCTTCCCTCAGCCTTCTCTGCCTATTTAAGGCTGCTAGCTCCCTGCTCCAGTCATTATTTTGTATGGGGTTCATTTTCGGCGGCCCTTCGAGAGAGAGAGAGAGCGAGAGAGAGAGAGAGAGAGAGAGAGAGAGAGAGAGAGAGAGAGAGAGAGAGAGAGAGAGAGAGAGAGAGAGAGAGAGGGAACCCTTAGCCTCTTCCCTCTGCCTCTTCCCTCTTCCCTCAGCCTTCTCTGCCTATTTAAGGCTGCTAGCTCCCTGCTCCAGTCATTATTCTGTGTGGGGTTCGTTTTCGGCGGCCCTTCGAGAGAGCGAGAGAGAGAGAGGGAACCCTTAGCCTCTTCCCTCAGCCTCTTCCCTCTTCCCTCAGCCTCCTCTGCCTATTTAAGGCTGCTAGCTCCCTGCTCCAGTCATTATTCTGTGTGGGGTTCGTTTTCGGCGGCTCGCGCCGGCGGCCTTCGGCCGCGCGCTCCCGGTGGCAAGGAACAAGGCACGGGACTGCTATTTTGGAAATTACACACACGCAAAGGAAGCAAGGGAGCAGCGCTCAACACAAGGGAAGACGGCATGCAGTTCTACGCTAGGCGAAAGCCTACATCGTGTACGGCTCGGCCCCCGCCACTTCAAGCATCGAGCGCATGCACGCCGATACCGCAAGAAGGAGATGCGCCGTTGACTGGAGCGTGTCCAAGGGAGTCCCGCCTTGAGCAGCCCCCACAAGATCCCCCACATGGCGGGGGAAAGTACGGGCTAAGGGAGCTACCCCGGCGGGCGCATCCGACACGGGTGCCAACGGCGACTCGAGCGATTCTGCCAAAGTCACGCAGGATCCTCGGGTTCCTGGACCGAAACTGCTCGGAAAATTCCGCGTGGCCGCACACACCGCCAGCTGCAAGTTCGCCAACACCTCACACGCCTCCGCCAGATTCAGAATCCGGCACAGGGTCAGCATGGGACCTGTGCCCGCGCGAATGGGGGGAAGTGCAGACTGTGCTTCGCGCGGAAACACCGTCGGCCAGCCAGGAGTCCGGCCAACGGATAATCGCGGCGCGGAGAAGCCGGGGAGCTGACGAGGGGTGCGGGACTGAGCCCTCTGCTCACGCGCTGGCAGATAATCACGCAGGGTCGGCGCACGCAGGGGAGCAACCTGGCCAGGGTCCGCTGCGATGGGGGGACCGTTGGTCACCTCAATGTGGACGTGAGTCGGCCCCCCGCTTGCCTGGGCCTGCCGAACAAACGTGTTCGCGGCGCGATCGAGGGCAGGATCCTGCTGGCGACCACTACCGCCACGCCCTCCGCCATTGCGCCGGCCCCGCCGGCCCGCGGAACCTGCCGAGCGCGGACGCGGGGGGGTCTGCTCGCGGCGACCCGATTCCCAGCGACGCCCAGGCGACCCCCTCCCCCGCGTCGCCGGAGGTCCCCGCGGAGAGCGTGGCTCGGGGGATCGCGCTCGGGGTGAGCGCTGGCCTGCCCGACCACGAGGAGATGGGCGGCGAGGAGAGCGATGGCCGGCAGGGGACAGCTGATCGTCAACGCCGTCCCGCTGATCTTCGCAACGCTCTGGGGACCGGCGGCGAGGAGATTGCTGCCGCGGCTGCTGCCGGGGCGGCGAACGCCCGCGCTCCTGACGCGGCTGAGCAGCAGACCGGTTTGAGGCAATCTGAGCGGGGACCCACGAGTACTCCGGCGTATGAGGCTGCCGAACATGTCGCAGAGGAAGAGACAGCCCGCGCTCCAGGCAGGGGACAGGCTCAGACGCGGAGGGGCGCGCTGCAGCAAGAGGACGAGGAGCAGCAGGCCCCTGCGCACGGGGCGGATCGAGCCGTGCGCTCTCTGCAGTACTCTCCTGCGCGCAGTCGCGACCCGCGGTTGGGTTCATTACGCCGGAGCACGGAGCCACGGACGCCAGCAGGCCGCCAAAGACGAGGCCGTGGTTCTACCTCCGCGCCTCAGCCAGCACGCCGCGACGCAGAGGCAGGCACGACGCCGCGAGGTATCCGCGTGGCTAGAGGTGGGAGACGAGGCGGACGCAGAGGAGGCGTCTCAGTTCAACGACGGGGGGCTAGTAGCTTCGCGAGGGCCGCTCACCGGATCCTGCGGGAGAGAGCTGGAGATGGAGAAGAATCGAGTGATGAAAATTCTGTGGGTGACCCACTTTTTAACCCTGAAAGAGAGGGGAGTTCTAGTCCCTCTCCTCAGGTGGAAGAGGCAGAGCAGCACGAGGAGTTGGCTCAAAACCCAACACATAGCCGAGGCGCATCTGCAGTTCGAATTGGGAGACAGATTCGAGTCGGGGGGGGGAACCGAGCCGCACAAATTGCAGATGGCACCCCTTCCCGAACCAATCAGCAGGGCGCAGACTTACCCACCCGCCAGCCAATGTTCAGTGCTGGCGACCTGGCAAAACGCCAGGACCTTTTCGCCGACGTCGCAACATGGGACCTCAACCCCCTTCGCGACAGCAGGCAACCTCCACTCGCCCGTCACCCACCTCGCACACTTCGCGACTCTTTCGCTGCCTGCCTCCTCACCCCACTGTTACACCTCGCCAAAGACCCTGACTCACCTGCGGGGTGGAGGCTGTTAATGTTCCTCCCGCGCATCCTATTGCGCACTTCGTCAGCCAAACGCCCAGATTGGTCGAAGGTTGGCGCCAGGTTAATTCAGTTCCGCCAGGGCCTCTGGCGGAACCTGTATGACGAGGCGGCTGACGCAGTATCCCAACCCCCACAGCCCCGCCACGCGCCGGACACCACAGGCATCCTGGCAAGGGCTGAGGGTTTGGCCAAACGAGGAAACCTGGCGAAATCGCTCCAATCCCTAACAGCCACGCCAGTCTCCCCCCCATCCACGGACGTGCTCCAAGCCCTCTCAGCTAGACACCCTCATGCGCGCCAAGCCGTCCCTGACTGGGTACCGGAGTTCACCACTGACTCAACCCCTACAATCCATCCACGCGACTTCAGGCGCATCCTCGCCAAGTGCCCGAATGGAGTGGGCGCTGGCCCCTCAGGCACCACCTTTGAACACCTGAGGGACGCTGCCTTAGGAAACACAGACATTTTCCTACAGTTGCACGCACTTACGAACACTGCGCTGGCCGGTAAACTTAGCTCTGAAGCGGCAGAACTTCTCACAGCATCACGGCTGCTCGCATTCGCCAAGCCACATGGGGGTACACGGCCGATTGCGGTGGGCGAGTGCCTGCTA